TTGGTCAAACAAAAAAGAAGAAGAAGAAAAACAGGAAGTTGATTTTAATTTAATTCATATCAATTAAAAAGTAAGGCCCTTTCATGTATGCAGTAACTGCTCACCTTAGCTTAAATGTAGTGCATATAAGGACTATAGTTGTTGTCTTAAGTTTATTTTTGTTTGGTAATTTTATCTCTATTTTAATTTGTTATTTATTAAAAAATATTAGAAATGTCATAAATTTATCAACTGATATTTCAGTGAAGATGGTGTCGAGTTTTTATTTTTATTAGAGACATTGAGCGGAACACAGTGAATTAGCGGACATACAGTAAAATTAATTTCTGAAACAAAATACTTTTTAAAATATAAATACGTTTAGTCTCCTACTCCTCCTAGTTTCCAATCCTTTAATCAGTTATACATGATTGAAAATTTGTCATTTGCCCGCTTAGAAAACTAAAAATGGCTAGCCAACCCGGCCTGCAAACATTTGCTAAATAGCAAAAATAGCAATGAGGTATAACTAAAGACTGTTATCTGTTGATGGACAAATCCCCTGGTTATATAATGATCAAAAAATAATGTTTACTAATATAATTAAATTTGAATTCAATTAAAGATTTAATTAAGGCGCGTGTTTATACGAGTATTCACCTACACTTAGAAACAACTATTCTTCATTTTGATCGCGTTAATGTGCTCAGAAGGAGATTATTAATATATTGGTGATATAATAAGTATTAGTGGTTTTTTGGTACATATTTGAACAAATATTTTTTTATTAAAAATCAATTTTTATGAGATTAGCTATAAAACTTTTTGGGTACTTTTATAGTTCGATCGGTGTGTGAATTTCTGTGGCTTATCTCCAAAAAAAATTGGTCAAATAATTTAAAGGTTGGCTAATTTTTTACTATTAGGACAGTTTCAATAAGAGACTGAAATAAATGGTACTCAGATGGTGCAAGGTCCAAAGTTTCATCAATTTGTTCCGAGTTATTGAACGTGTGTCTGATCTGCCAGTGTCATGATGGAAAATAACTCCTTTTCTGTTAGCCAATTCTGGTTGATTTTCTTTGTTTCGTTTAAGCGGTTGAGTTGTGAGCAGTAGAGGACCAAATTAATGATTGTACTAGGCTGGAATAACTTAAAATCGTTTGTGGAGGGCCCATGATTGCTTGTATAGGACACATAATTTTTCATTTCATTGATATCGAAATTTTCGGAACGAAATAAAGCAGATTGAAATCACAACAAAACATACATGAGGACAGCACCGAAGACAGAAACTATTTATAATAGCTAAAGGCATCAATTTAGCTTGTGTAACAACTATTAAAGCTTTCTGGGGTTGTGCCAGCAAGAAACACATTGCAACTATTCAGCGTTTTTAAAATAAAGTATTACGTTACATCGTAAATGCTCCATACTATATTAGAAACAGTGATTTCCACCGTGACCTTGACATGCCAATAGTCGACGATGTGACTAAAAGGCGTGCCGTTGCTCACAAACGGCGTTGGAAAACACATGTCAACGTTACAGCATTCAGTCTTCTCTAGGCGATTGCACTACCTATACTGCTAAAAAGGATAACAGTTGCAGACTTAATGGATAGCGAATAGCAAAATAGCTTCGTTTTTGCCTTAAATATTCCAATAAAATAGCTTATTAGTACCTCTTATTTGTTATTTGTACTAGATGCAATATTAATACGATTTTTGTCTATATTTTAAGAATCGTTTATAATAATAAAACAAAACAAAAAACCTTCTATATGCCAATAAAATGGTTGCCACATTATTAGGTTACGTTGCATTTGGCAATCACTTACTCAATAAACAAAAAATATGATTAATGAATTTTTAGCAATAAGTAGGCCAAACTTCTGACGATGCATTGATTGCTGCCTAGAACAAGATCCGCTTGAAAACAAATCTATGCACCCAAAAGGAGTGGAGAAAGAAAAATTAATATTTTAGGCTTAAAATGAATTGGCTCTTGATTAAACACTCTGTTATTTACAAATTAAAAAAAATTTTAGTCAAAAATGAAATTTATTTTTCAAAATATAGTGCACATAATTAATTATGAATTTTTTTTATGAGTAATTTTAATTGGTGCAACAGATATTTTTTTTCAGGAAATAATTGAAAAAAAAAAAATTTAAAAGAAATTATGCAACTACATTTTTATTTTTTATGAATCAAGTTGAAAATATAAAAAAATATAAGCCATTCGATGCTTAACGTTTCTCATAGATTTTTTAAGGCAGGTTTCTTAACTTAACCATTAAACTATTTAATTTTGCTAATAAGGAATTATAAGTAATGAGATACCGGTATTATTTTGTAAGTCACCACAAACCAAAGCTACTCGCATTTTATATTGCCTAAAACAT